CATCTTCGCGGCTTAACTCCTCCGAAGGGAAAGCCAAAATATGCACACAAAGTTGCAAAATAGTATTGGGCAGGTCTGTGCACTTTATTCTTTCTCCTTCTAGGTGGAGGTGTTTATGGTGTCATTTATCGAAGCTGCGTTCGAATCGCCAATGTTCTCAGAGCTGTGTAAACACGCAGGTGGGATTGATTGTGTCATAATCATTACGTATTTACGACAACATTCTCCCTTACTTATATATAACTATAAGGCCCGTTTCTGAGATACAGTTGCAGTGAAATTTCCGGCGGATGAGAATATATGGTCGTTGGTAGCTTTTGAAAAGAAGATATTAAATTCGGATGTGGTAATGTTATTGGCGACATCCCCATCATGCATGAATCGGTTTGTATTTTTTTTACTTCAATCATATGGTCTATGCCTGGGCGCCGGCGTGTCCCGATTACACATCTTTCAGCGCGTCATTGCGGCTTTGAAAAACCCGCAGGTGTCGAAGAATTGAATTTTACTGATTTTCAGTTTGGTTTGACTCCTACCCTACAGTTCTATTAAGAACCAGTCGCCTCGCGCGGCTCACGCCGGCGTGGCCTCCGTTGCTGATACGACCTTGGGCTGCCGGGGGGGGGCCGCCGGGCTTCGCCGCGGTTGCTTTTCCCACCATCTTTCCTAGATTTCCCTTTGCTCTCCTTATTTGTTTTGGTCCTCACTTTTTTTCCGGTGTGTCTGCCAGGTCCTCTTGCGTCTTTTAACCGTTCTTCGTCTGACTCCGTCCCTCGCAGCCACAGGCGCCCACTGTTTGTGCCCCACTCCTCCCGACGCCCCTCTCACTGCTTATCCCTGTTTTTTTTCGAGTCTGTCGCAGTGCTCTGGGACACAGTTTGGGATTTTTGTCTGGCTCGCCACCTCGCGCCGGTCCGCCCATAACTGTTTTTTTGCTCCACCACTCCTCACCGACGCACATCTCTGCTGGCTTTGCTCCCTTTGTTCGGTCTTTGCGCTGCTCTGGGCCGTTTCCCCCCCCCCCCCCCTAAAGATTTATATCGCATCCCCTTGACCTGAAAATCTTCGATTTTTTAGAAAAGAAAATGAAACAACCAAGCAGATTTCGATTATATAATAACTGTCGGGGAGCAGTGGGTGACGCCGTCCCACAAGAGAAAGTGATTGTCGTTCACCATGACGAAAATGATCGTCAAGGCGGTCAAGTGGATGTGATATTCTTGTTTGGGGGCGGGGGACGAAATAATCTAGGAGAGAGGAGACAAGTTTTCAGCGAATTTGATGACCTAGGACATTTTGGCGCGGGCGCCAGGCAGTTTTGTGGCAAGCGATTGTGATATTCGTGTTCAGGGGTCAAGCTGCCCCAGGAGACAAGTTTTCAGCGAATTTGGTGATTTATGGTATTTTGGCGCCGGCGCCTGTGGCGCGGGCGCCAGGCAGTTCGTGCCAAGCGACTGTGGTATTCGTTTCAAAGGGACAAGCTACCCCTAGGGATAATTTTCCAGCGAACTTGACTGTTAGCACATCTTTATTTTCGTATAAAGTGGCAGCCACCATTGTCTGCCATCGCCGTTCGTGTTAAGCATCACGTGGCTTGCACTTTTAAATGTTTTGTCACTGCCTTTCATCTCATTTCCCCGACCTTGTAACTAAGTACTCCCAAAAGGGAATCTGAATTCGTTCATTATCATACCTTATTTACGTTTGTCATCATGGAAGCTCCAGCAGAATTGTCTCTCTGATACGCTTCTTTGAACCCAGCACACGTCGACAAAAGCAGAAACTTCTCTTCATCAGTTACTGTAAATATTATAAGCTAAATTTGGCACAAGTAGAGTATACAGCATGAGTAGCGCGAGCTGAGGACGGAATCGCACATGTCCCGAACTCCGAAAAGTGCTTTGCAGCCGCGCTGCCCGAGCTAGAACGACTATCCTGCAAAAAATTATATCCACTCACATTCCTTCTGAGAGCATGCCCTCAAGATGGTGCTCACAAAAAATGTCGAACAGAGACCAGCCGGGACGGTATCATGAGAAGGATATCGTCCAAAGCCATTCAGCAGATCACATAATGAAACCCTACAGTTTCTAAAAATGAGCTGCAACAAATGATTCTAAACGGTCACGAAACTCACTTAGAATCGTAGAAACAACGTGAAATATAAGGCATCACTATTAGGACCATTGACGTCAAGTTCTTGTTGATCACTATTGACCGAATCAAGGAGCGCAGAGCCCATACCCTGGAAAGCTGGTGGGTTTCAAAACAGTGTTCGAACACTCGTTGTGCAGACAGATCCGCAATCAGAGCGTCTGCACCTATTCTGTGGATAAAAATGAATGGCGAGATTGCCAGTGTTCCATTATAAAATAGTTGCACGCTTCTGCAACAGAATACCCCTCCAACCAGTAGCCAAAAGAAGCTCGTAATCGACCGCGATAGTGAGGGGAAAAGATGTGACACAGACAGTGAGTCTAGAACGAGATCAAATAACAAGAGCTCGAGGGAAACCCAGTTTCCGCATGCCTCTCCTACGTTCTCTCAGGCCAGATGAGAGACTGAGGGGCCGTATTCCGGTGGGTTCTATGATTTCATTGGCTTTTCCTCGAGAACGAGCCATTTAGCACATCTTCTCTTCTTGTATTTAAAGCGATAATCCACGCCTAAGCAATCGCAGAATATGCCCCTAATGATGGTGGATCGTTCTTCAGAAAAGCAGTTTATCCCTAGTTCTGCGTTCAAAAATCAAAAACAGTTTCCTCACTTGAGCCATCCACCGCCACTAGCTTTGCATTGATTACATAAAACGAGTAAGAAAAATGAAACGGTACCTTTCTTCTGATGATGTTCTTATAACAGGGACCATGAGGTGCTCACAAAGCGATTCGAGACGCGGTGGTAGCCGCCTATCAGTTACGAAAGAAAGTTCGTCGTTATGTGGCGGAGCCAGCTTTGCAATTAAATTCAAAAAACATTCGAAGTAACCCATCTGAAAAATTCAAGCGTGTGTTCAGAACATGATGAAGTCCTAACCACATAGGAAAGGCTTTATAAGGTCACAATTTTGCATAAATATTGGCCAGCTTCTCTCTTCCTGTAACCTCGGCATGTTAGTTTTCAATAATTCAGTATGTTATATTGTGCCTCACGAGGTTTTTAGGTGGAACTATTTATTAACGGCCTGACGTTTCGACTAATCGTCTTCTTCAGAGGCCTAAAAGTGTTTCGAGATTAGAGATGTGCACTACCCCGCCAAGCGCCCAATCCACCCCAGCATTTCGATGACATAGTGAAACGCAACCGAAAAAGGAGGACCGCTTGCTAAACGTATCAAAGAACACCTAGCCAACATGAGGCGCGGTAATCTTATGACAGCGCTTGGGAAGCATAAAGCTGAGGTGCATAACGGCGACAACTTTGCGATAAAGTGCACAATATTGGCGCAGGAGACGGAGATTGCGGCTAGGAAGGCATTAGAGGCGTTTTGGATTTCTGTCAGAAATCCTCGTATGAACAACCGAGACGAGCGTCCGTCAATTTCCAATGACCTCCTGTCGTTCATTCCGTATTGCGAGCTATAAAGTCACCAGTGCTACGTGCGTCTCCGCGTATCGATACGTATAAGGAGACGCTATATGTAGTAAGTCTCATTCGCTACTGGTTGACTTATGGAATAGCGGATTATTCCGCTCTACGGTGGAACAAAGGTGAGCGCCTTCGTGTTGTGTGAGATTCTCGGTTGAGTTTCACTATGTCATCGAATGCTGGGGTGGATTGGGCGCTTGGCCGGTAGTGCACATCGCCTAATCTCGAAACACTTTCAGGCCTCTGAAGAAGAGATTACCACTTGACGCCTTCTTCATGTGCCCTTCTTTTGTAAACCAATAGACCATCACCGTAGATGGGGAAGGAATGAATATTATGGAACGCCATCAATCCACCCTCTATTCTTGTACATGCCTATACGCTTTAATGTTTTACGAATTATAAATCCAGAATAGCTTTTATATTTCTCAAGTAAAGGGCAACAAGCATCATCACAAACTTTAAAAGAGGCTTACCCTCACTAGGGAAATGCAATCCTGAGAGTGAGCAAATGTATCAAGGAACCTGGAATTAGTCAACAATTTACTCAGTTGAACAGTTCAGCTCGTAGAGACTTATACCTGATAGGCATCACGAAATTTGTATCTTTTCCAGCATGAGACAAGAATTTCAGAAGGCATTTGTAGAAGACTATTCTCCGTTGAGTTGCCACCAATTCTTCTTCCCCGAAACTGCTCCGCAAACCCAGTGCAGTTGAGCAAAGGGTAATCTACACAGGTCAACAGGAATCATGATTTTGCTTTAATAAAATCATTAGTATATTAAGTTTGTCGAACTAACCAAACGACTATCATCGTCCGGGTGATGATAGAACACATTTATTCGCGTAATTTGCAGATTTAGCGCCTAAACGTCGAAACCATTATTTTTTCACAATAGAAAGGCAAGCAAAACGTTTGCAACCAACGGAGGCCAATAAAAAAAAACAGAAGAACACATAGTAATGTATAGACAGTAATGTATAGACTCTAGAGTTCTGAGGTTCTAAAGAGGTTGAAGTAGGAAAAGGATGCAGACAGAACCTCATTCGTTGTCGGCCTGCCAACTTTATCGAAATCCTCTCTGAGCTGGCGAGCTACAATGATGCGAGCTCGATGAGCACGCCATGACCTCTGTACAACTATGGCTGCGTTCTTCTGCTTCTGATCTGCAATGCAATAATGGCCTTTCTTCGAGCAGCTCGCTACACAGTGCGCTCTTCTAAGGAAGCTTGAACGTTTATGCTTGATCAGATTTCTGTTACGAGGAATTTATTGGTGCACTATCGAAAAGACTGTCATTATGAACGCTCCAACTATTTCATATTTCATTGACAGTTAGCAGTTATCTCGATTTTTCCAACAGCTTAGCTCCTTTCACCACTGATCAAATTAAAGAAAACCGTAATGATAAGCACATACCAACTGCTCTTGCTCTCCTCTGCGCTTCGAGTTCGCGTAAAAATTTTTCCCGATCATTCTAAAAACAGGTTAGTGATTCAGGAAGTAGAAAAGACTATTAAATTGACAAAACTCACGAAAGTGTTCAACACCGCTTCCTGTTTTTTGTTCCGCTTTATCGACCCGTCGAAATCAACAAGATTCAGGAACGACATCTGGAACGTGCTCATGGTGATAGGGAATTTTATTAAACATGGGTAAGAAACTACTCTTTCGGGTAGGTGACAAGATAATAGCGGCTAGCCGCGCTAGTGGACATCGCGCCCACAAATGACCTCGCTTCCGCCCTACATGGCGACAACAGACATGAGTAACCAAAAGTAGCCGAAAATGTGTATGATTCTCAATCTGTATGGAAGCTGGTGCTCCTACCGAGAAGCCATAGCGAATGAGAAAAACGCCGCATCATCTGCATCTCTCAGGAGCAATGTGGTCTGCTGAAGATGAATATTTTTCTTCTTCAACGAAACCCATGCGACATGTGCTAAGAGGAGGTGAGCACAAGCACCTTCACCAAATGAGAGCTTCACATGTTTAAAGACTGCTCTCGCGATAAAAGTGTCATGTATAGTTGCCTTTCAATTATGAAACATTAGCTGATAAGTAATTCTCCAAAGAGGAAAAGCTGCGGTCTCTGTGCAACCCCTGGCACACAAACCCATTTATCACATCTCCCAGTAGTGGATATCATCCAATGCAAAAAAAAGAATATGGAAAACAACAAAAACACGGAAGAAAAACTCTTGAAAAGGAAAAGAAACTTTCAAAAACTCGGCGTCCGAATTTAGGGTTACGGTAGCGTGCATCTTTTAGTGTAGTGTGGTGCGTCGAGCACCACGAAAATTGGGTCGCTCGTGATTTTTACGCGTTTTACCTTGCGAGATTTGTTGTAGCTGACTGTATAGGCTTCCAATGAATAAATTTATAAAGAGAGCAGAATCATTCATGGCACGAGCGCGGTCAGCAAAAAGGACATGCAATTCCGATTAATGCCCGCCGCCCCAACAAAGAACAACTGAGCGGCCCTCCGTCAGAGGGCATCTAGCAAGTGGGCGGTCCAACTGGGCGGGCGTTAGAACTAGAACTTTCAGCGGCTGTAGCTCGCTCCTCGCTCGCTGTGGAGTCGCGAGAGTGGGATAGTCTCTAGCTTGGGGGCTGTACTACTTGCACAAGGAAGGACGACCATGTACTACTAAGCGCGGGGGCTGTCTTTTTGAAGACGCAAGAGAGGGACACGCAGAGCGAGCAAAATCGCAACACCCTTCCATGTGATGGCATGACGGGGAGAAACTCTCCATTCGGATGACCGTTACAAATGTTTATGGAAGATTTAAGTTTTTAAGTTCATGTTCTCTGGAGCGTACGAAGATAAGAGGTTTCTGACTTGATTTTTTATTATTCTATCTTCTTAGGAGTCAGCAGTCAGCTTAGTTTATTGGTCGAACTTCCCTCCCCGCCAAGGGGGAGCAGCGCGATTGCCTTTCACATTACACAATAATTGTTCCTAGAGGCCTACAATGAAGAGGCTTCGTTCTGTGAACATTTCGTCCCCAACAATGAGGGAGCATTTGTGGAAATACTTCACGAGAGCACACTCTTGTACAACGAAAACCAACTCCGAGTCATATCTTTATTCGCTCTGAGGCAGAAGCAACAAGTAACAATATACCAATTCAAATTATCACTTCCTAACACATCCGGACACTTATTTCTAATCGACCTCACTTTCCTCTTCACTATCTTCTTGTAACCAGTCCACGATAGGCTTCATTATTTGTTTCAATTCTGAGCCCTAGAAATTCAAAAATGTGGTAATCAGCTCTGGAGTACCGAAATTAAGAATGCGAAAAACACAACACCTCATCCAGCGTATCCACCCAGTGCAGAATGGCCTCTTCTTCTAGAATGTCCATTTCATTGTAAAGAAAGTGTACAAGTCTCGCCACTAGTTTGCCGAATTCTACAGGACTTTCTTTGAAGCGATCCTTGAAATAAAAATATGGAAACAATTTAGTTGTCCTATAATATAACTTTAAATAGAGGTTATTTAGCTAAGTTTCGTAAATATCAAGGAGGAAGTTATCCAAACTGATCAATCAATTTTTCCCTCCCTGACTCGCTCTACTTCTATTCAAAACTCTAGCGGCCTTCTGAACGCGATCTTGTCTATACGGTGACCTGAGAGCACCATCCGGTGGACTAAACAGTGTCCTACTCTCCGAAACAAGTCTGGTACCAAGTGACGTATCTGGATAAATGGAGTGCGTTCATATGCGTCAGCGTTTCGTGCGACTAGGAAAGTACAGACGTCGATCTACCGTCAGAGCACCCGCCAGCGTTCTGAGCATTTGGACACTTCCGAGCTTTTCGCGGAGAGTCGCTCGCAGGGTACAGCATGGGGATGTGCGAAATGTCGGTGTGAGTACGACCCCCCTCCCCCCCCCCTCTCCGCCTCCACGGCTTCTTCGCCGACGGACGAGCGATGAGTACATAGCCGGCGAAAAAGGAAAAAGTTGTCGAGCGGCACAAAATGCATATAGTGCATATAAAAAATTAATACGACCCCCCCCCTTTTTCACAAGAAAAAAAAATCAACTATAAAATTTGGGTTCTCCAAATACGACCCCGCCTCCAAGCAAAAGTACGACCCCCCCCCATGGGTTGCGACAACGATAGCTGTAGCGCCTGGTCGCTCGACACGCTGGAGTATCGCTCAGAGTCGACAGTCTTTGCAATTCCTAGCGTTGCTCGACAAGACGCTGTCCGTGAAAGATCGATAAACGCTCGAATCGTTGACGCTGTATGAATGCAGCTCTAAAATAGTTGATCCGCATTGAGGCCCACGCAGTGCTTATTGAGCTGTGTGGCGCGCTCATACACTTAAGTGTATATTGTGGCATTTTGATTTCATCATTCCCAAGCAACCACTTGGAAATCTCTATCTCTTCTTAAGAAATCAGTTTATAATCGTGTATATTTCATTACCTACTAATCTGCTAGTAGGTAGCTTGAATTTTTGACTCTTTCGTTGGGTTTGTAGTAAAGTTCGAAAACATTGAAGCGTCTCCTTTTCGACAAAAGACTGAAACGTTTGCTTTGGAACATCATGTCTGATCGATGACTATTTCCATCACATACAGTTATGGAATCGAACCTTCTTTCTAGTTCCTGCCATTAAGTTTTCATTTCCGGGGTAATACCAATTAATCGTCTGGAGAGATACGTATTTCGCCACATCTGTCTCTTCATCGATTATATTTCTTAGCGCGAGGTTAGACGTTTTAATTTGATTTTCAAGGATTCCAAGTTATGCATTCGGAAAGCTAAGCTCTCTTCGATAAGGGGTCTCTGGTCTTTTCGATTATTAGCTATTCTACTTTATGGTATTGTAATCGTATCTTGTTCTTCTTCTCTTGTTCTTATTTTATCGCTTTTTACATCGTTATCAGTGTATACCCAACCAAATATTTGATGCGGTTATTATTCTTCTATGTTGCTATTGAATAAACATACTTGTGATTTGCTTGATATGTGAAAGCTGCTTGAATCCTACTCCATACTCTCTTTTTTCAGCAACTTTTTTCATAACTATTGTCCCTGTATCATTTCTAATTCGATTCGATTTTGCTCACTCTCACTATCAGTATTCCGACTATCGTATTCCTGCGATATGTCAGTTTCATATTGGATAAAGTGCTCTCGAATGCGAAAAACTAGGAGCGAGAGAGAAGCTTTCGAATAGAAGTCTTCGGAAACTAACATTTGTGTCTCCCAGTACTTTGCATTTCCAGAGGGTAGCGCTCCTTCATGTGTTTGTCCAAAAGCGACCACTCATTCGTTAAAACCAGATATATAACACTCTTCAATTCTGCGGTAATTCATTATTATTATGGTTGCATATTGCTTCTTCTAATATCAGTTGTCGATCAAATTTCAAAATTGATACGCCACTAAACTCCTACTAAAGACGTTGATTGAAAATGTTCAGTGTCTATGAGGCAGCGGGTCCTACTTTGGCGTTGCAGCGCTTACGAGCAAAACGGAACAGGTAGTAATTGTATCGCTCTAAATGCGTTCTGAGCATACTGCCAGAGTTTCTGCGACCTTCCCGGCGAATACACTTGAAGAAGCCATCAATTATTGTCTATGTTCTCCCACAGTATCCGATTGTAAGGATGGTTCTAGTTTGACATAATTAGAGAAGATCTGCAGTACCTTGCACATCTTTACACTGAATCGCCTCTTCGAAGTCTTCATGAGGAGTACTTGAACATAATACTGACATTAGATGGCACGGAGTTCAAGATTGCCTGGGATAAGTAACCGCTAAATGAGTTCCGTTAACTGGTCGGCTATCTACTGTATGGCAAGTGCAAGGTTTCTATCATAGACGAAAGAAGGGAATGCCTTTGCTATATCACCGGGATGCTTATGCAAATTTAAGTGCCGATCTGGTATGGAAAACGTCCGTCACCTATGCACTGCACTCTTCGATATGGCAGATGCACTGCCAATTGACGAACAATTCTCGCCAATTATGGCAAGCTGAAATATGACGAGTTCTGCACCTCTGAGATGGGCAGACCATTCAGGACGAAAGCAAGCCATAATCCCCCTTTTTCATTCCAAAAGCAAGTGAAGCGTTAGTAATTGATTCGTTCAAACTCATAGCACCACTAAATATATTGCCGTGTTTATCGATTCAGCATCCGTGAAAGCGCCGTTCCGATGGAATTTGTAAGTGCGTAATTCGCTTATGCTGGCGGGAGACGTATCATTGCAGTATCTAATTCCGAATATGTGTGTAAGGCAGATTAATATGCGATCACCCCCCCCCCTCCCCAAAAAAAAGGAGATTTACTTCTCCGATCAACATTATCAGAGATTAGAGCTTTGCAGTGCCGCTAATTGCACAACTGTGGCAGGAATAGGTAAATCTTTGCTCGTCAACGGAACGAATAGAGTGTTTGAAGGTGAAACGTGATGAAAGCGTTCTCCCAGAACCAAATAAGATGGAAAGGGTGTGAATAGATACCCAACAATATGCTCTAAATTAAACCCTGGTTCTGAAGGCGTTCATACCTTGCTGATTGAGAGATCGCGACGATGTCACACATTCGCGAACGAAGTAAAGCACTAGTATTTGATCTGGTCATTGCGGAGTGAGCGATTCGCTGCGTTTGCGAAATCACACTTTAACCAGGCGATTGAACCCAGATGCATGGGTTTGATCGGTGCCCGGTCGCTAGCGCATGGGCGAGACTGCGTACCCGGAAACTTGCAGGAACGCAGCGAACCGGGCGATCTTGTGTAGACCGCGTCTCCGTTGCGCGAAATCACCAGGTTACGACGAACCTCCACAATGCCTGAAGCGACCACCAATGTCCTAGCAGCGCCAATCTCTTAAGTCGCCAAATCCCTCAGTCCAAAAGTATAAACGCGACTTCAAGGACTTCAGCTGCCATCGAAGTATAGAAACCTATTCAAGTTTCAGTCGAACGTACCAATTTTGGTACCATTTCCTATCGATGCACATTGCAAGGCAACAGAATCGTCAATATCACAATCACAGCCAAGGGTGACATTGAACACGTGGTTGGAAACGCTGAAATCAGTGCCAATTTGTTTTCAATTCATTTGAACTACCAGATAGTTTAGAAGCACATAAATTTGACACAAAGTTGCGTATGTGAGCCCTTTTGAATGCGTGTTAAGTTTTCGCAGAGTCTCGTTGCATGTGCTACAGTACATCCGTTGGCCTGGCAGCGCATTGAAAACTGGCAAGTTTCTCAGAAAACTCAACGAACTGAGATAGTGTAAGAACTGGGAGCTCTGTAGGCAACGTTTATGTATGGAATCAAGACACACCATTCTATCCAAAACGAGCGGATGAAACCATCTTTCCATGACGAGGTTGCTCAAACTAGCAGCAAGGAGTTGTAGTCTCTGGAAATCTATTCAGCACAAACGAAAAATCGTACTGAAACCGGCTCTAGGAAAACATGACATTCTGCGCTTAAGTTCAGTCAAAATTAAATTTTTTTAGGCTGATTACTTACTAATAAAACATACCTAACACCAAAGTGCTGCCTCAGAGGCAGGAAGCACTTCCACGTGAATGTTTTGAAGAAGAATTTCCTCGTTTACAAGTATTTCTCGTATGACGTCATCACGATGCTGGAAGTCGAAATTATCGCTGAATTGTGTGGATATGTTCAGCGAGCATAGGGCAATACCGCTGTCGAGGATGTCTTGGCGTATCACAGCATCTCCGATGAAATACGACTGAATTAGGTTCTCTTTTGAATGATAGTAACTAAAGAAGCGAGCAGAAGTAAGAGATAGTGTGGAGTGGAAAAAGGACAGCATTCACAACCGCGCTCTGTGGCTCGCGCGTATATTTCGCGAATGTGGCGAATATTAGCTTTGAGAGGACTGGCGATACGAGAGCGTTCACACTTTGCGGCAGCATTCTGAACGTTTGTCAGCATTTTGGGTGTGCGCCGGCGCTTCGAGCTTATGAGCGTCCACCAGCTTTTCAGCGGTTATCGAAACCTATACCTTCTTTGTCGCTCAAAACGCTCGCTCGAAAGTTGATACTTATATATTCCTAGACGCTCAAAACGATAGCAGATGGCGGAAACGCTGATAGACCCTCGAAATGCTAGAGGAAGCTGGAAACGTTGGATCGGAGCCTATACTTCGCTAGCCGCTCAAAAAGCTCGGAACGCCTTGGACACTCGAGACGCTGACGCTCAGTATGAACGCACCCTAAGGATCAGATAGAAACAGAGTGACCACGTGCACGAGCGTGCCGCCGATTCCCCTGAACCGTGGTTTCTCCATATGAACACAACCTGAATGTTAATGTCTTCTACCTTGTCAATGTCTAATTTTCTAGGATCCTCCTGTCTATGATAAGCCTTCAGCTTTTTTGTCACACTCTCAACGGCAATCACAGCATTATTTGGAGTTTTTAGATCAGAGTAGATCAACGTCATTACGTTATTCTTGTTTTCGGCACGACGTTCTCTGGAAATATGCAGTTCCGCATAAACCCACAGGTAGGCGCAAAAGATAATTCTTGGAAGCGACAAGTACCGAAAAGCAGCTATCTGAGTTTGTAACGTGGATGAGGTGACAGTGGCAGGATCCGAAACCAATAAGAAATCACCTAAAATGATCTCTCGAAATTGAAACAATAGAACGAAAAGCCCTACTGTGTAGTATTTACATACTGTGAAATTGGCACCTGTTAGTAGTCCTCGAGTGTCGAGTTCTCTCAACGCGTCTCCAACGTTCATTGCATTTTTGCAACTTACAATAGATATAGATTCGAAACAATGATTCCAATTCCTGAATCAGGAGGTTGGTACTGGAGAAACCTCAAATGAAGCTAGATGTGCAACCACACCTCCTATTAAGATATTTCTGAAAACGGGGTCGGTGATGGTATGAATGCTAGGCACCCTGGCACCCTGGAGGGAAGAGCATGGGAAGAGCATGGGACTACTGGGGAAGGAGGGACTGGGCCGCGCTTCTGTGGGGGTCAAAGAAGCGCCCTAAGGCTTGAACTTGAAGCGCATACCAGTCTGAAGAGTATTCTCGCACAAGTCCCTTGAACCTGCATCCTGACTAGAGGAGGGCAGAGAGATGCTGCCAAATGCTGCCCCTCGCCGCACAACGTTTGCGCCAGCATCTCCCATAAAGTTATCACTCCATGAACCCATGCCACTACGACTATTCATGGAAAACAATGCCTCCTTGCAGCATTGATATATTCACGTAAAAAGGAAATACCAGGTGAAAAGAAACTACCTCTCCAATTTCTCGATTGCATGCACGTTTTTCTCAGAAACAACCAACAAGAGCTTCTGCACTTCTGTTCGGGCGATCCAGGACAACGTAAAATTGATAGCAGGCACACTACAAATGGGGAAAAGGCACTGAAAAACGAAAGGCTAAAAAGAGAAAGTGACATGAAAGCCTAACAATAGAACCGGTATGTTGAAACAATCCGCAAATAAGTGAGTACACAAAGTCATACTACTAGTACCACATGAAGCATAATTCATATCAAAACCCTTGGTTCATAGAAGACGACCTGAATATCCACTTCAAGCAATGCAGAACAGTCACTCACCCATGGTTTTCCAGTTTCCGAGAAAGGAGCAAAACGTGGGTCGTATGAGTCCACAACAACCACACCAGTCAGTGAATCATTGTCTTTCTTATGTTCCCTTTTAGGAGGCATAAATGAATTCCTCCAAAAGAAGCCTGAAGAGAAGCGTGAAGTATAATCCGCAGATTGTTAAGAAAATCGGGAATAACGGAATCGAACGGTCGTAAACTATCCAAAAACGTAGAGGGCGTACTCCCAACGAAATGGCAGATACTGTTGTCTTCGTGGAATACTTCGAGCTCTTTCTAACGTATCTCGGTTTATAAAACAGCACATTACACCAAACGTCAGTTTAACGTACTGTACGCATTTGCACCATCTGCGCCTTTACGTAGCTACCGTATTTGACATTGCCGACCTAATGATGGCGGGCGGCGGGATGGTACGGCTCTCTCGCTCGCGGCTAACGTTTAGAGGTGTTCCCTTATCGCATCTTTTGGTCACGCATTCAGAGGAAGAGAGGAAGAAAAATAAGGAGGAGGGATGAGAGAAGGACGGCGAAAGGTAAAATAAGGAGGAGGAAGGCTTCGCTGTTGACAGGTACCCTGAGATCCCAGCTAGCGATCCTTCATGACTCGCCGCAGGGATGACTAAGACCTTTCCGGCGCCCGTACGGCGGTTCCCGTAACAGCAGGTTGACGCCAACGTAGTAACTTTGGCGGGGGGGGGGCGCACGTGCTGGCGCTACCAACTGGGCCTTTCCGCATGCAACGCTCGGCTGCAGTCGCGAAAACGCTCGGAGAGACTTCGACTCCGTTTTGGCAGTGTTCTACAGCTCTCGCCGTATCCACCACGCATTACTTCTTCCGACTATCACTTTTCCGGCCCATAACCATGGCTTGTGCGATTCTCTTCTAATGAGCTAAATTTCGAGTCGATTCTTGGATAATCCGAAGACGAGGAATTCACTCAACGCAGAACTCGTATGCTGCTTCGAAGGTGCTGGTATCTGGTCGCGTCAGGACCGACAATACTCTGACTAGATTGAATTGTACCAGTTT